TAAGTGCCCAGCAATGAGTGGACAGACGCCCCCACAATTCTCGCCTAGCGGACAAGCGAGCGAAGTGACCAATATTCCGGCCCCACGCGCAGCACAAGCTGAGACTGAAACAGGCTGCCGGAGGGTCCTCATTCCAGAGGAACTCCGGCAGGCACGCACGTCCACACACCTAAGAGAAGGCATCAAACCGACTCCCTCCTTCTTTGCACTTATCTGCTTTATAAATAAAAACGTCCGAGCTAAATAGTTCCCCGTGTGAGAAACTGTGTTCGTCCACACACAATAGATTGAGCATTGTTCAATGTTCAAAATACTTGCTAACCTGTTCCAGAGGCTGACAAACGGGAAAACACATGTTTCAACTACAACGCCTCATATATTTTCAGCAGTTAACACCCAAGGCCGCAACGTGGCATGGAATGGGGATCAATGAGAATGTTGAGGACGCCGGGGAAGCCTGGCTCGAAGTTCGATTTGCCGCAACTGTTCCCAATTGGCCAAAAATTTACTCTAAGCCCAGGGCAGCCATAACCCAACCTGAGGAACAGAGGCAAAGCGGACACGAGCGCGCAGCACTTCTTCTAGGGCGGCAGCGACAAGACAAAGAGCTGAGAACGCAAGACAAAGAGCGAGAAACCGGCAGTTTGATGGCTGAGAGCCAGAGTGGCCAGAAGATAGTTCACATAGCTACCGTTGAGTCAATTGGAACGAGGCACTGATTGAGTCAGCCTCACCCCACCATAAAGGGGAAAAGCAAAAACTAAAACCTGACGATCCATTTAGTGAACTCGACAGGGGCGACGAAATGGTCGTCCTAAGAAACGCGGGGCTTGTCGGCGCTTAAAGGTATCTTTTGCCTCTGGCTTTGCGCACTTCCACAACCATTTCAGGCTCCTGGCATCCTTGTATGCACCGTTGGCATCAGACAAGGTGTAGGTGGAAAGTGTGTAGAAACCCTTCGCTCAGCGCCCGAGCCGCAAAGCCACGGATCAAAAGAACCATGGATCTATAACCGGTGTCTATCTCTAAATCAAAGGCCCCGTCTAAGGGAAATCTAGTGTAAGGCAAACTTTTGGGAACTAGATGTGGTTGGTCTTGGCCCCAGCCCCCAAGCTTGATACATTGCGCACGATCTCCACGTTTCGCAAAAGAAACTCATGTTGAGAGGTGAGCCAAGCCCTCTACCACTTCTGTCCTTTCTTCAACAACAACTTTTTAATTGCAAAGAAGTTCAAGGATCCACAGCTGGCCCCTTCAAAGCCTTCCCATTTTCTGGACGAGCGTTCCGGCATCAATCGCGTGCAGCGCTAAAAAACAGTGGGAGTGTAACTGTTGGCCTAGCTGCAAATCATTCATGCTTTGGACTATGGGACCCTGCAAAGAATTGAATTTGACCCCTCATCTCCCAGCTGCCAAACTTGTAAAACGGCATGTGGGCGCGAAGGGCAATTTCTGGGCCTGCACTTCTCAGAGGTATCGTTGGAAAGCAGTGACTAGAATTGAAGCCCTTGCAAGACAGGTTTGTTACGGATTACGCTGGTTAGACTCCTGGTTGCGGATGAGGCGACCGCCGCTCACGACTGTGAAATCTGGTTGGATAATCGATTGAAATTCAAACATCTTTTTGGAAATCAGTTTTCTGAACACTGCGTCTTTTGACTTAGGCGCTCTACCAGCGCACGACTGCCTGATGAAATTTCACTGTTGGTTTCGTCAATGTCTTTGGAAAAGTGATTTCTAGACACAGCCTTGTCCAAGTAAGGAACCCGGGGATCATTGAAAACCACTTACCTCATAAAGATCTCGTCGTAAAGGGAATCAACACAAGCTGGCTACACACAAAAGAGGCGAGGCGAGGGTGAGAAAACGAAAAACACCTAAGGAAAAAGTCCCGAAAACGGAGGCAAGGAAAGAGAGAGGAGTCGACGCAGTCAGAAAGCAGCCAGCGATAGAAGAAGAAAAGACAAAATGCAAACAGGAGAGACTATATAATAAGAAAGAAACGAAAAGCACAATGCAAGACATGGAAACCAAAGGAGACAAACGAAAGCAAAGAAAGAAAGAAAGACAATCGCAAGAAAAGAAGAAAGACAAAATAAGGAAAAATGAGACAGAAGGAAACTAAGAGGAAGGAAGAAAAATAGAAAGCCAGGAAGTCCACAAAAAAGGTGAACCTATCGTCGCAGCTTTGGGCTTGAGTATCGAAAAGCAGAAAGCTACCACCGCCTCATCGTCAAATTTCAAATCGTCGGAGCCTCAGCGATTCCAAAGCGGCTTGCAATCAAATTGTGCAAGTGGTTTATGGGCGACGGCCGTGACATATTTGAGGTTGCCTGCGGGATGTTGGCCTTTGGGCCCTGAGCCGTCGGTTTCCAAACATCAGATGAAACGAGCGTATTCCATTCTGCTTGCTAGGTTCCACGCTCCAGAGTCTGGACCTCGAGCGTCGATGGGCGCGTTGTAGGGACGCTTCTATCGAAGGTCGTAAGTTGTAAGCATAGCTTCTTGGACAAGGCCCCACCTCGCATCGTTGCCGTCAATGCACTCTCAGGAGAGGGTGTCTACACGGTTGAGCGAACCGAGGTGAGGGGACACGGCGGGTGGTTTCGACCACTTTCTGAGCGGATTCTCCGCGAGCGGGAGGATGGGTGGCCAGAGGGCGTGAGTAACGCGGAGATTTGTTTCCTTGTTGAAGGCGCGTTGCTCACGCCTCACCTTTGGTCCGCTATAGGCGGACCGCGCCACGTTCAATACTTGGTTATCGCGTGGTGCGAAGATTGAAAAGGAGATTTGCAGCGCGGAGCACATGGATACTGCAAAGGTATTTATTGGCACTTGATTGTTTGCTTTGCTCGACTTTCCGTTGCTTCCGCCGGCCTTTTTTTAGGCACCTGCTTGTAACTTAGTTGCTTACTTTAGTCTTTCAAGTCAAGAGTCAAGACCTTTCTTTGTTTATCTTTCAAACTTTGCTTTTCAAACATAATGTAAATGAAAAATATAGTTAATCTATTGGATGCTATTTCAATATTGAAAAAGTTTCTTGCTTCTTTCCTTTCTGTTGTTTTTGCACACAAGGAAATTGAAGCCGACAAAAAAAGAACAACCTGCAAAAACAATGCCGGGAAGATGCAAAATACAGAAAACATAGCAGAGGAAAGAGAAGAACATAAAAGGGTTGAAAAGAAACAGAAGCGACAACAAAAGGAAGGATGTACTAGTAAGAACCTACAAAAGAAACAAGGAAAGCTTACGAGCAAAAGCCTCCAATCAGGTGCCAACACAAACACGAGGGCAAGCAAAGAACCCAGTTGTCAAAAGGAACCGGTCACAAAGGCGCACAGCGTTTGCATTCTCAGTGCAGACATGACAGAAAGCGCGAACCCAAGTTGACTCACTAAAGCAGATTCGCTGCATCTGTTTTGGGCGCGAATCGCGGGCCCGACGTGAAACGTTCGGCGTGCTCTCAGAAGAGGAGCCTGACGCAGCGGCGGAGAAACCACGCCCAGCCGATGGTGCCTCCTTCAAAAACTCGGAGGCATCCATCCTTGTCCTCCTCTTCATAGCCGATGGGCGGCCTTGGTTCGGGCGCCGAGTTTGCACGAACGTCTGTCGTCTGTCTCTCAGAAATTAGGCTCGCGCAGTTCTGGTCCGTGCTCCACTTCCGGATCCCTCAGAACGCGCCGCGTCAACAGTCCATCGTGAACTTCGCTGAGAGGCGCTGAGCCCAGGACTCTGCGTGCACCTCCATGCTCCACACAGACTCATCGTCTGAGATGCTACCCGCCGCCCAATCCTGATGCGCCCGTGGTCAGGCACGCGATGCGCAGTGCACCCAGCATGCTGCGCGCTTGTCGGAGTTTCTGAGTGGTAAGCTGGTGGAACCACCGTCTCATCCTCCAACGCCTGAGGCGCGCAGTGATTCGATCTTCGTGTTATTGAGATGCTCAGAACACATTCTCACGCCTCCTCCTCTTCCTCATCCGCTTCACTCGGCTCCTCGTCGTCTGACTCGCCGTCAATGACCTCAGTGAGAACATTGATGCTGCTCGTCTGGAGGAAGACTTCTGCCAAACCAGCCTGGTAGCCGAGGTTGAGGAGGCACTCCTAACAAGCTGGGCGATGCGTCCGGCTGTTCGGAAAGCAATCTGCATGCATTGCGTGGAACATGTGCCCAGCCTTGCAACGCAAAGTGTTCCACCATGCGGCTGCGTCGCCATCCACCGGCCCGAGCGGCACACCACTCTCACCTCATGCCGTTGACGTGATAGTCCGCGCGCTGTTCCTTTGACTGATCTTCATTCTCTTTCTCTTGCTTTCCTCTTTTCTTTCTTTTCTTTCCATCTCTTTCTCTCTCGCAGATATGCCTAGTTGGGAGAACCGCTGCAAAGTGCACGAGCGTATGATGCTACAGCGGGTTAACTGTTAACGCTGAGGTCAATGAGGGAAGTACTGTGAGGCTAGCGACGTCGAAGGCGAATCCCGATGGTCGTCCGCGAATCCCAAACACGACCTGTTTGGGACTGGCATATATGCCGCCCAGAAAGACCCCTTCAACCACCCCAATCTAGGTTCAGAAAGAGTGGTCAACATGGTGATTACTAGGAGGTTACACATGTCTCAAATGTCTAGATTTGAGTGAGGCTCTTCAAACATTGATCTGTTGGTTGACTCAACCTCCACCACGGATGCGACCCAATCTCCTTCACATTCTTCCATCTATATATCCGAGGCGGGGTGGCCAGAAGCTACGCACGGTGGAGGCCATCGCTATTAGGTTGGAAGCCATTACTACTAAGTATAGCATTCCAGCCAGGACCGTAGCAATGTTCAAACATTTCAACACCCTAAACCCAATGCTGACTGCCAGTGTTGAGACACACTCACCCACCTTCCAAGTTCTCATCCGATCTCCACACCATGCTGTGCCACAAAGCTCACCCAACCCGAACGACGCTGTCACGTCCCGTCCCGTCCCGGCGCGCGGTGTGCAGGGCGCCGTCCTGGCCCGCTTTGACAAAGGCCTCGCCCTCAGGCAGCCGACGACCGATCCAGGCTACCAAGGTCTTGCCTTGCGCGAGAAGGAGCGCATGGAGGCAGGTGGGAAGGAAGCAACTGCGCATCGCGCGGAAGGTGTGGGAAGCAGATGGATGCGCGCACCCCAAACCCGAAATCAATTAAAGAAGCATTTAGATCATCTGCTATTCTTCTGCTGCTCCGTTCATCGTTTCTGTTCACATCACCTTTTTGGGATCGCTTTTGGATCAATTCAAGGGTTTGAAGCTCAATTGCCTCTGATCTTTTTCATGTGGTCTCTGATTTTTTGAGGCCTGCGCTGGCCAAAACCTGCACGTGAGCGGGAGCTCTGGAGCTCAAAAACGCTCCGGGACCAGGGCGACGGCTCCGCCGGCTCCGCTGCTCCAGAGGACTGTCAGACAGAAATGAATGCCTTGCTATACACTTGGCGACAAATGATCCAGTAAGAAGAGCAGGAAATGATACTTGGGCAACGGGCAAGCAAACAAACAAACAAGAGAGGAAAGAACACATGCACGATCAGAAACAGGCTTTGACAAGAAAGTTGAATAGTCTTGCTCAAGAACAACTTGGACTCAAGGTCTTGACGCTCTGCTACGTTTGGACTTGGGGTTGACGAAAAGCAACACATATCAATTTGTGAGCAACCCACTCTATAAAGAACTTTATAAGGAGAACGGTTGCCAAGAAAAGGGACCTCCTTGCGACCCTTCTCCTGGCTCTGCTCTTGGATGTCCTTTGTTCGGGCACATGGTTTGCTTATATTTTTCGATGGTTCTGTTCTTAGGCTGAAGATCGACAACGGCAAACGGCAAAGGGAAACGGAAAGGCTCCATGTTCCTCTTCACAGCCTTAGGCTGTTTTGGGTCGTGGAATGACGTGCGGCGGTGAAAGGCGATGTTGCGATGATCCAACCGACGAAAGCCGTCCCAATCGGTTCAGAATCTGGGATTCCCTCTATCATTTTTGCTGGTCCTCGGCGTGATTTCGTTCGACCCAACCGCTTGAGATTATGACCTTCGTGCAATACCAGGAGCAGTTCGATGATGTTCAATCAGCTATCGGATTCAAACACCGATAGCTACAACAACAACGACAACAACAACAACAACAAACTCTTGGACTGTCTCCCTCTTCTGCACCAAGACCCAAATCCTGTGACCTCAACACCACTCACATCGCATCCACTGCCCCACCACTCGTCGGCCTGTCATGCTCTTGAGTTCTTCCGCGGGCGGCGGATTGATGGCCTTGGCGTGAGACGATGTTGACGATCCCCCCGCCCCAGACCGTGGAGGGATCGTAAAAATAGCCAAACAAACAGACACAAGGAGTTCATTGCTTTACATGTCATGTATATGATTAATATGGCGTGTGTTTTTTTGTGTTAAAACATGGGAACATGTGTGTGTGTGTGTAGTGTGTGTTTTGTTTGAGGTTCTTTGAGGTGTTTGTTCTCTCACGCGAACCATTTTGTTGGATCTTCCTTGTGGGTGTTGTTGGCTTGGACATTGGATGTTGATGTAGTTTCCGGCATGCTTCGTTGGCATGTTGGGGGACCGTGTTCAATATTTGGTCAAATGGGTTTGCATGCATCCGCTCTTGAGGCTCTGATGAGATGGATCCCTGAAATTGAGGGAAATTGACCAAGGAGTCAAGAAGGTGATGTTGCTTTCTAATTGCAGGCGCTGCAATCAGGAGATGAACATCTATAGCTACGTTAAACAAATCCCAAGATTGAATAAGGTTCCATTCTTAAGCTCCACTTCTATCTATATTCCTCAAGTAGGTCGAACACGGAACAGCACCTAAAGGTAATTTAACCATTACCATGTACGACCATGTATGTTCAACATCTTTCAACATATTTCAACACCGCCGTATGCTGCCTGCATCGACCAGAAGTTCATATCGGACTCACCTTTTGCTTCTTTAGCAGCACAGCCTGGATGATGCCACCAGATGGTGCACAGTGCCAAGAGGCAAAAAGGAGTTCGCTCTCCTTCACCTGGTTGCGGTTCACCACGCTGCAGCCCACCGCCTCAAAACACGACGCGAAAGAGGGTGCACTGGTGGAAGCGCCTCGAAATCGCCCACCGACGCGGTCCGCGGACTGCAGTCTGTAGGTGCATGGAAAAGGTGTCAGTTTCTCATCACCTTCTACAGCGGGACTTTCCCTTCTTTGTTCATGTAGACTCTTGATTCATAGACATCCCCGGAATTTGTTCACATCCTCTTCAAAGGGAGGCTTTATTCATCAAGAGTCTATATATTATGGTTGCGAATATATTTCTGTATTTTTTTTCGTTTTTTTTTTGCATTTTTTTGTTTTTCGTGTTTCGTGGCAGGTGCAGTACTTTGTGGACCTTGCAAAGCACATTTCGTGGCAGGTGCAGGACTTTGTGGGCCTTGGAGTGCAGAATTTGTGGCAGGCGCAGGACTTTTTGTGGGCCTTGAAGTGCAGATTTCGTGGCAGGTGTAGTACTTTGTGGCCCTTGGAGTGCAGATTTTGTGGCAGGCGCAGGACTTTGTGGACCTTGAAGTGCAGATTTCGTGGCAGATGCAGGACTTTGTGGGTGTGGAAGTGTAGAGTCGAGTTGGTGGCAGGTGCAGGACTTTGTGGGCCTTGGAGTGCAGATCTCATTCGCAGGCGCAAGACTTTGTGGACCTTGAAGTGCAGATTCGTGGCAGGTGCAGTACTTTGTGGATGTTGAACTGCAGAAAGATAGAAAGATAAATTGATAGATAGATAGAATAGATTAGATTAGATTAGATAAGATAAGATAGATAGATAGATAGATAGAGGAGGCATATTTGCTTGGTTAGAAAGTTTTGCACCGGGGAGTTCACCTTAAAATATTGATTTCGTGGCAGGCGCGGGTGTCGGGGATGAAGTGCAGATTTCGTGGCGCGGGGGGGCGCAGCGCCCCCCCCCCAGCAGCACACCAGATCCAAAGGTGAGCAGCTCGTGCTTGCTTGCTTGCTTGCTTGCTTGCTTGTTTCGTCTCTGCAACGAAAACAACAGGAAAAGCAAATACAAAAAGAGAAAGGAGAACAGCTGCCAAAAGAAAAAAAGAAAGAAAGATAGATAAATAGATAGGTATAAACAGATACAGAAGCCACAGAAGCCAAAAGCCACAAAAGCCAGAAGCCACAGAAGCCAGAAGCCACAAAAAACAACAAAAATTCCAAAAAAGAAACAAAAAAAAATCCAAAAATAAATACCCCTCCTTAAGTTATCCCTAGGCCCTAGAAATGCGCAGTCTTGGTATGTGTCGCTGTTCTTCGGAGCTTCGTGCTTGCCTGTGCCCTCCAACAAGTGCCGGAGGGTTCGAAACGCCGTGACGGTGAACGCCTTGGCATCGTCTCGCCTTCTCCAGAAGACCTATGTAGATGTCCAGCGTACGGTCTATGTACGATCTATATACATAGACACAGGTCAGCCACTATAGACTATAGGGCATCTATATATAGTATATAACGGTATGTCCAGCAAACAAAGCCCTGTAGTGTGGTTTTCCTGCTCAGGGAAGAACAACATCACTTGTCTAGTAGCCTGTTCTCCTTTCGCCTGGTCTTCCACAGAGACTGGTCGATCGAAGGTAAGTCTTTGGACCTTCAGAACACATGTGACACATGTGACACATGAGTTACACCGTTCGTTCTGCGTCACATGTGTATCTGGCCCCATGCTCTCTTGGCAGAGACCACAGGACGAACGTGGCGCTCTGGACGTGGCGGACGTGGCTGGCACAGTCTGCGGGAGAGGTCGACGTCAACTGCTCACACACTACTTGATGGCTTTGTCATAGTGCCATGATGTGCCACAACTTCTCTCTTTCAAAGCCGCTTTACAACTTCTACCTCACAACTTTTCACTTTGGGATATCTACGGAGCAGTCCTTATGGGACAAAGTCAGTACTTGTTGGCGGTTCACTGGAGAACGATTCCTTGTTCACAAGATCTTTGTGACTGGAAAAACAGAGGCCGCCAGTGACTTGAGCTCATCAGAACGCACTCAGTTGTTTGGTAAAAGCTAGACTCCCCCCACCCTCCCAAGCTATATATATATATATCAGGTATATACACTTAGTAACTTTTAGTAAAATCATACATGAAATTACACGAATAAACCCCTACAAGACGATCCTACAAGCAATACCTACTCAAGGGTGTCCCCAGTTCCCTGCCCCTTGCCCAAGTCAAATTTAATAATATGGATAAAAAGAACACTTTAGACTATAGAGTGAGTATATAGTATATAGCATATAGATCTAATAATATATTGTTGTGTTGTTGTTTCTGTCTCATAGTCTGTCACAAACGTGTCTGTCATCGCTCGCCTGGTAGGCGCTGTCGGGAATGCCGCTTTTGAGCCCAGCGCCGGACTCCACGGCGATCTTGTAGCCCTCGGAGCCGCGCATCCCACCGCGGTGAAAACCGCGGTTCACAACGGTGTTGAACTGGGCAGCCGAGTTCAACAACGACGAAAAGCTGTACAGTGGTTCCAGAGTCGATGGCGCACCCAAGTCCGGTGGTTCGGAGGATGGAACTCATCTGAGTAAACACGACACGATGGGTTCAGGGGTGCCATCTACTCTGAAACCACTGTACACAGGACAAAACATATCAACTAATTCAAACATTATGTAAACTATTGTTGATTAGTAGATTGTTTGGTTTGATGTTACTTTTGGACACAGGTTCTTTAGATTATTGGTCAAACCACGTATATCATTTGGAACATAGGTTTATCATGGTTTATCATAACGGTTTATCCATATGACTTGGATCATACAAAGTCGGGTGTCTTGACCAAGCAATAATCTACATGGGCCCCAAAAATGTCTGGTCGTCACAGGGCAAGGGTCTTCAGAAGGACAAGAAACCTCACAGCAGTGCATTCACTTCAACAAACTAACATTAACATGGAAGTAGAACCTCCTGTCGTTTTTGATCACTGGATAAATGGTACCGTCCATGTTTCATGGCAGGAGACTCTGTTGGAGGTCCAACATGCTTGGTGTCTGTACTATCTTTGACTGGAGAACAAGACATACTGCTGTACTGTACTCTATCTTGAGCTTCTAGCTATGTCATTGTGGATCAGGGCTCTGCATCGCCCGCCCAAAAAAGATACATCCAATTTTGTCGAGATCACATTAGCTGGACCATGTTCTACTACTTCTACAAGCTTTTCAGTCGCTGCAAAATCAACTCCAAAAGTCAAAGTGGAAACATGTGGACACCATCTCCCTCCAAAAGAATTCATCTAGTCAACCAATAATTGCAACATATATGGGTGATTGTGGGTGTAAGGATTTTCAAGGAGACCCCCAACCAAGGGAATTTTGGTCGATTTGCCTTCCTCTAAGGGGGTTGAACTGAGATGAACTGGGAGGTCTCCCTATTTTAATACACCCATATACCACATCAACTGGAACCATCCCAACTCCACTGCATCGGATTCCAACATGTCGTGAAGGCTCTACTTACTCCGGCAAGAAATCTCGCTCCAAGAGAGGTTGAGAGACCTTATGGGGCCGTTCAAACTCTCTAGCCTGAAAAAGGCATCAAAAGAAGGGCCCAAAGGGCCCCAAACAGCAGCTTTAATCGCTAGCTTCATGCAGGGTTTAATTTCACACAACCACATAGGGCAATGACCAATAAAACAATAACAAGGGTAGTGCCAGTGCATAATTGTCAAGACATGTTAAGACATGTTGGCAATCCTTCAAGGAACACCAGATCTGCTGTGTTCACAGTCTGCTGCTTACCAGATCTTGCCAGTGGTGCATCATCTGATGCATTCGAAGGTGGTGCATCCCCGGCTGCAACAGCTCGTCGACCACTACGAGATCGTAAGCAACGAAACGCTCTCCTCCTCCAGCGCAACTGAAAGCGCCGCGCTTTAACGGACCACAAGTCGTCGTCGTTCTCGGGTGCGCGCCGAAAGGTTCTTCCACGGATGTGTGTTCTTCCATGGATGTGTGGATCAGACGCCAAAAAAAGGATGGTCAACTTGAACTTGGTGCCCTTGGGTACCCAGCTACCATGTCACCCACCCAATCCCACCAGCGCGAAGAAGCACCTTGGCGATGAGCTTTTCCGCTACCGCAGGGACCATACCTGGGTTAATCGCAGCGGTGGAATGATGTGAAATGGGGGGATGATGTGTGAAGCTGGACCACCAAGGGTTGTCATGGCCCCAAGAATCTAGAATTTAATGGATAGGTATGATAGTATACATATGTATATACATACATTTTAGCCTAAGGTTCACACGATTCATTCACCATAATGCCGTTCTATCTTGGCGTCGTGACAGTTGATGTATTTTCACTGGAGCCCACCGAGAGTTTTCTACCACTGGGTGAATGGTCCGTGGGTGGCCGGGTTCAAATACTTTTCCAACCTTCCAACGGGTTGGAAAAAAAGAGAGCTCACGGAGGTGAAGACAGGCACCTGGCCGCGGTTGAGTCTAGGTCAGTTTTTCTCACTGATTGACCTACTCCCCTCAGAGGGACCTCCCTGCATCCATCCATTCGATTCACCATGGTGAAAGAAGTCGAACACGGTGCTTTTCGACGGTCACCGGTCAAGGGCCACCGGTGGATGCCAGTGAAGAGGGACTCTTTTTGGACGAGGACTTCCTCGACTTCCTCCTTTGGGAAGGACAGCTTACATTGAACGTCAACAAGAACAGACTTGGGACAAACTTGCGCCACCCAAATAGGAAGCACCACGAACTCCGTCAACTAGGTGTTCTCTTCTGCTGGTAGCTGTTTTGGTTTTGCCCTGCAAAAACGGTTGGTCACTCCAAAACAAACACATTCCTCCAACCATTCTTCCGGCTATGAGCAAATAAATACATACTACACATCATATATTACATTTAAAACCCAAAGACATGATTAAGAACAACAAACAACACCTCTCCTCTCCCAAAACGATCACACGTCCACCACGGTGCATCAACTCCTCCCTCCACCTTCCAAGCCACTCACGCGCTTCTCATGGTCTGCTTCCTTCAGAACTCCGGTGTTCAGGTTTCTCCACCTTAGTCGTGTTTTCTAGTGTGAGTTGAAGTAATTGGTGCCTGTTCGCAGTTTGCAGGGACTGTTGGAACTCGTTGTGATCACGGGTACAGTAGCAGGCTGCATTATTGCCCAGCCAAAGGGGTCTGGCAAGGTGGCTGTCAACACCGCTTTCGGGACTACCCCCGTCGAAAGTGAGCAAGGTCGGGTAGTCCCCAGGGTCCCCAACCAATCCCCCACGAATCCCCTACCAAGGTGATGGAAGATGATGGGAGGATGATGGGAGGTGTGTCTTTCCTCTTCGACCCTCTCAGACTCGACGCTTCGTCAACCCGACCGCACCTCGCCAGGGGGAGAGGAGGGTCTCTTCAGACCGACCGACCGCGACGGACCGGGGACCCCAGACCATGTGCCAAAGGCCTTTGGGCTCCAACGTGAGCGTAGGTGCCTTGGTGGCGTGGCGGCAGCGAAGGCAGGAAAAGGTGTTCATGAGGTCGCTCCTTCCTTGGAATGTATGGCATATATATATATAGAGGGATCCAAGTACCTCTTCAGAAGGCACCTGGACCCTCCAAACCCACCCCAAACACCTTATCGATGGCATATTCTGTATGCTCTACCAGCACATTAAAACATTATACATAAAACCCATGGAAGAACGACCCCATGGTGGAGCTCTTCTTGATTCTTCTTGTATACATCCTGTGCTGCAACACAATGGATTTGACGAGTTCTTACCACACCTATACCAAAGCCGCTAAGTGTAGATGCTGTACAATACAAACAGGTTGGGTGTGCTGACAGTCCCCATGAAAGATAGTCTCAACCAAGCCTATGACATGGCTTTTTGGGAGGCCATCACAAGATGGTGGTGTTTAGTCGCAGGTTACAAAACCTTCACTTGCAGGTGGGGGTCACAACTTTCACCCCTAGGTTGGGATGCCTCGTCGTGGATGTTCTTCATTTCGGGGGTCACCCGGGTTTGTATGACCGGCGGGACATGGTTTGACACAACCTGCCGGTGGTGTTGACCCCACAGTCTCGGTGGTCTCTTGGTCACAGTTGAGGGTGATTGCACCACATCTGAGAATAGGGCGTGCAAAGGATTGATGGAAGCACTCTTCCAAAACAAAGGTGACCAATCGGACATAACCGAATCCAACCAAGAATACGATGTTCCATGGATGTATTGTATATAGATAGTACATATGTTATTGTATTTTTATATACTGACCTCGACCCTTCAATCATCTTAAAACACAATCAATGTTGGCAAATAGTCCAGTCCCATGGATTCTGATCGGGGGACATCAAGGGTATGGTGATTGTGGGGGAGCACTTTTATGGATGAAATCCAGGTACGCCAATCACCCAGCATATCTGGCGTACCATCAACAGCTACTGATTTGGGGCGGGTGACCTTCACCGCCTTCACCGCTAATGACAAATCTGGTTGACAGGATCTCTTGAGAAGTGATTTCACAAGCACCATGTCATCAAACTGAGGATCCTTGAACCTCGATCTCGTCGATCTCCACCTGCAAACTCCTCCTTTCACTCATCTTTTTCACTGACACGTTCGGTGCCAAATCTCCGCCCCACCGACCGATCCCACATATTTCCCCACGCGGCCACAACCCGGCGCCGATCCGCATCGACCTCGTCACCAAGGAGCATCATCGTTGGGGCGTCCCAAAACTTGGCCGAAGCCCAAACGCTGCGGAGGACGCGAGCGGGCGCGCGTTCTCAGCCCGTTCTCAGCCCTTCGTCGCCGTGTTCTGCGTACATCTGCAACGGTTGGGACGGGGAGTACCGAGTGTCGGTCCTGGGAGATGATGTATACCGTGCTGGACGTCCAAAGTACGGTTACCGTATGCTGTTCGATGAATAGCGAAAAGGTACATCAACGGAACATGTGTATAGAAAAAGAGGACGAGGTGTCCCATCTAGAACCCTAAACCCCAGGTTAAGCAAAACCTGTTAGTCAGCGGAACCTTTGGCATGTAAGGGTGTTGCTTTGCACTTCAAGGCCACGTCCACATAGAACGGAGTTCTACAAAAAGAATCAAACATAATACATGATATCACATGATATCACTTATATAACTATATATAGTCATATATAGTCAAACTGCACGTACAATATCAGTTTGGAGGCTTCTAAAGGTGACAAAGGTTTAAAACAAGCGTACTGCTTGTACGAACTCCAAGCGCACGAGGAGTAAGGATGGATTCTGGAGACGAGTAGGTGAGTACCAGTCGCTGCTGGGAGGTGTTTTTCGTCTCCAATGACTTGGCATCGGCCAGTTCTCCAATGATGCTTTGGAGACCTTGATAGGCACTATTTGGAGTATTTCTATTCCACCCACATTGGTCCACCTGGATCCCACATGTGTCGACTAATCTGTTTGTCTAAACTGGGCCATGTGGGCCCCTGCCCTAGTAAGGCTATAGATCTTAGGATGAAGAACCTGACCTTCCCAAATCGACTGGGAGTTCCAATCTGATCCAGTGTTATGCAGGTCCCTGGAAACATAGAAACGCTTCAGTTCTAGAATCAGAGTATATCAGAGTCTCCTTGATTTTTCACACTGGATGGAACATCAGAATTAATATCTAAGAACGATCATGTAAAAACCTGAACGGTACACCATTGGTTGCTGTTGAGGACCTGTGGCTTTCTGCCCCGCAGGCAGGTCTGAAACATGCTTTCCCAAGATTTCCCAAGTACTCAGGAGTGTACTCAGGTTCCTCACCCTCAAAAAAGAAAGATATCCCCCCTGCGGCCCTGCTCCCCGTGGAATTTCCAATATCTCCCAGGGTGCCTGGAGATTCATAAATACCTGTTTTTGCCATACATCCCAACTGGTGCTGGATTTCTTCCACCTGCAACGACGATAATCTTTATAGGTCGACGGCACGAGGTCCCGAGACCCTTGGGGTTCAATCATGGATCCCCAAAAAGCCAAAGCACCTCACAATCACAATCGGGGTTGCAGCCCCCAAACCGAACAGCCCGGCTCCAATCCGACCACTGTTGGGCGCTGAACGCCTGATAGAACTCACCAGCTGGGAGCCATTCGAGTCTCAAGGGGCCCCGAACCAGCCCCGAACCAAACTGGCGCTGCCCCCCATCTGTCTCATTCGCGCCCCGAGCGTCGAGCGATCGTCTTGAGGCATATCCAAAAAAGATCCAAAACTATCGCCCAAACTCGAGCGATGACACTTCTGCCCAGCTTCACCTCATGAAACATGGTGCTTTGCCCCAAAGAATCTCAACAAATGCAAGTGATCAGTTGCCCTGGACCATCCTTCTCTCTTGCAACATAGGCTCCAGTTCACCTTCCAGATTCCATCTCCTTTCACATCCTTTCACATCCTTTCACCCAACCATCGCAACAAATTGGAACCCAACAATTCAACATATATATATATATACTGTACATATATATATGTATGTATGTATATAAACACATTATATACATATGATTCAACCCTTTTCTTTGGAGTCCCGCGGCCTGCGATCGAATCCGCCCTCCGCGTCTCGGGTGGCCCGGACCGGCCCTTCTCGACTCGCCGGCCGTCGCTTCACCTGGCGGACGTAGGGACGTGGCTCATGCCGCAGTGCAACGGCGTGTGATACTTTGGGGTAGTAACAGAATGCTATAAAAAATGCTGTACCAAGTAGGGACGAGGTTCCGCCTAAGCACCTGCTGTGGGTCAAGAAACAACGCGACCTACCCCACAGTTTATCTAGACAACATTACACAAACTAATATATATATATATATATTAAACATATATATATATATATCATATATATATAGGCAGGTAAGAAACTAGTTTGCCAAAGGATGTTCATCAAGGATGTTTGGGGTCATCAGGTATTGAGGCGTCTTTCACTGTGGACTGTAAACATGATGATGAGGTGGAGGAGCATAGGTCTGGAACAACAGGAAGTTTCTGGTCATGGCAACACCCAAACAGGTGGCCTTGGCATGGCAGCTCAAAGAAGTCCTCTAACGTTGGTCAGTTGAACCGAAAGAAGTCGTCCAGTAGCCTCAATCGGGTAACCACCTGCATATGCCAAGTCAGGGAACTGGCGACCCCTGCGTGAGGCAATTCACAGAATTCACAAGGGCAGTGGTGGATGCGAATGGATGGTCTGAACTCTCTGTTCCGTTGCACCGTGTATGCTGGAGTGCCCGTCCAGTGAAGGACCCGAAGGCGTGAGATGTGTGGGATTCAATCAGCATCGCTGCGAGTCTCGCCATTCCACCTGTGCAGGTCAAAGAAACACATACACATTAAAACCATATCAAACAATGATGAGAAGTCGAGCAAAGGGCTTCAGGATGTTTTTGAAAAATGAAGACAACTGAAGGATCTTGATCGGATATTCCTCTATTCATATTGACCCTTCGGGAACTGAAAACCGGTCACTCCGGGCCGCCCACGTGCATTTTCTCTCCCCGATCGAAGACGATACAGTCCTTTCTCCGCAGAAGGGCGACCATCTCGGAATGTCCTCGCTCCAGCGCCACGGTTAAAGCATCGCCTGGGCCAGGTGGTCAGAGGATCGCCTGAATAAAGCCTACCAAGGACGAACCATCACGGGCGTTGTCAAGCACATTCGGTGGGTGGCAAGGATTTCACCAATTTGAACATGGAAATAACTACGGTGTTTGGGCCAGTTGATGGACTATATCATGGTAATGTCGAATCCTAATTAGTCAAGTGGGAGGGAAAAATCAGAAACTAGTCCAACACCCTGAACAGTTGCAGGTGGGAATTGTAGCAAGAGTTTTTGTTTCCGCTGTAGTACGAACAATATCCAAGCTTACTTTTCTGATGTTCTGCTATTCTTGCCATTTAAGATCCTTGGTGGACTCTTCTGAGGTTTGCTTGATTCATGGACATCTTACCTGAAAACCTTTGAAACTTAACAAAACAACTACTAAAACTCATCGTCATTGCTCCAAACAATTTTTCATGAGGGTAGTACACAAGCCCAGGGCAAGCCAATATTCAGAAAATGTTTATGGGGTCGGTGGGATTGATAATAAACTGGAGCCCCATAGAAACAATATCTACAGTAAGCTTACGTTCTGTTGTTTTCCATTGCTGCCCTTTAAGATCCTGGCTTAACTCTTCTGAAGTTTGCAAGAAACTCATGGACATCTTACCTGAAACTAATTGATTCATTGTTCCAAACAACTTTTCGCGAGGGTAGTACTACACGAGCCCAGGGGAAGTGAATACGAATCGTTTAGGGGGTGGGATTAATGAGTAAACCTGGAGCCCTAGCCGCATAGCCACATACATCTTTAGAAACAGCTTAAACAACCCGCCGCGTCAGAAACCGAACGCATATACTTCCCAAAGGAAATGACGACTGATTGATGAAGTTCCAAATGTTTTGCGCTGAAGGGCTGTTGGAAATGCACGAAAGCTGACAGTTGTTCTTAAAATGCGCTGCGTTAGGACCGAGAAAAAAGTCTATTCTGTTCGTTTTTTCGCTTCGTGGGTCTTCTGCTGCACAACATGCATGTCGGCACAAAACTCGCACATTAAATCCTGCGCAATTTCAGAGTGGCAGAGTTGCTTCCAGGGCTCTCTGGCGCAACATTTACAAGGATTCTCACAATATGTACGTGAGCAGCGCCACTGCCAAGAGCGAATCCACTATTCTATTTAAGGGGACTGGGCGAAGAAAGATTTGGGCACAAATGCTTCTATGTGAGATGAAGAATCGCATCGGTGCCACTTGTGTAGACGTTCAACCGTCTGCATCTTTGAGAAGTCAGCATAGGCTAGATTCACACTGAATTGTGATGCATCGTGCAATCGCGGGCCATCTTGGGATAGCATGGTGCTCCATCTGTGATTCACACGGACGAACAGCACCTGAATCGTTTTTGTTTTTTTCCTGACAAATGAGAAGGCATCATGTCGATTCAGCAGCGTAACAGTCTTGCCTCCCGCGGAGGAAAGCTTTCAGAGGCTTGCCTCTCACAAGCTGTTTCGGTCATACACCAACAGCTCTGAGCTGTCTCTCCAGTGTCTCACTGAAATACAATCTGCTTAAATAAAGCCACATAGTTAGGAGCACATACTTGCGTGCCCCCCCCCAGACTGGCGTCTACAAGTCTCAGCCAGGGGAACGGATAGAGTGAGCACCACTACGCATTCGATGCTGCTTCTCCTCGTGCCCAAACCTACGTGCACCTTAGACCAATGTTGGCTGGAACTGATAGTAATTAGTGTATTAAAACCAAAAAAACGCTCTGTTGCTCCTTATATCTCCTTATTCTCAAAATTTGAGAACCACATGTTTAACATATCGCTATGTAACATGCAAGAACAGAAATCGTGAGTTTGGTGGATTCCCCTTTGAAAGCGTGTCTTTTTTGGTTTGTAGATGTTTGTAGAGTATTGTATCACCACATGTCAGGACAACCTGGCCACCTGTGGCCACTAAACACTTCTTTTAGCTCAGCCACTCTCTCCACTTGGCTCGAACGAGTCCGCGCCGTGCTCCACCAGGAGCTCGGCCACGGCGACCTGGTTGCACAGCGCGCAGGCGCCCAGCGGGGTGAGGCCGTTGGCCATCGGCCGGTGGACCTCAGTGGCGATGGACAAGGGCACGGTCGTTTTCCCCGAAGTGGCGATCAAGTGTACAGAACCCAGAGGCGACCCTGGACCCGAACCAACTGCTACATGTTTGAGGTCCAAAACCCTGGCTGTGAGGGTCAAAACCCTAGCGATCTGAGGGTCCAATGAGCCTTTTGGAATTCAATATCCCCCTTGCTACCGACCGCCGGGGTTGATCTACAGGATTTTATGTAAAATCGGTGGGGTCAACCACCAGGATTTCAGTATGGGATAACCAACGGGGATATTCAATGAAGTGGGGATGTTGGAACAGCAGCGTGACCTTCTTTTCTGATTGCGACATATTGCGACATGATATGTTTGAAGGATTGGCACGTCCTTGTCAAGCGAACAAAGATACACTGATTACGTAGTTCCCACCTTCGACGTTCTCAAATCTTGGTGTCGGACAGACTCTGCGACTCTCTGAATTCCTAGAGGGTTCCACACCCTCTGAGACCTAGAACTGAAGCGATTGTCAGACCCCTTTCCGGTGCGATGGCGCAATGGCCGGTGAAAGGCTGCAATCTCCTCTTCCCGAACAGAACATGAATGGTCTAAGCAAAGAGCAAAGGGCTTCATCCAGCCGTGTCTTCCGAAATGTCCAACCAGATATCTTAGATGTTTCACATGATTCTCCTGTATGACTACAAACCTCTGCCCAAATTCTGTACGCGCTTTTACTTGTTGATTCTGTACAAACCTCAGCAGTAATGCCCCCAAAAAACTCACCTGTCCCACTCGCTTCCAACAGTGACCTGAGCAAGCGAGTCATGCCACCCTAAATTCCCTTGAAGAAACACATGGATTGCCCTTTCCTTGGACCTAATTTTACCATGATATTTACATCCTCCAGGTCAATTAGGACCATGCGATATCCATACACACACCATCGTCCGAGTGACATCTGCGCGGTGCTCCAACAGGAGTTGAACCACCTCCTCATGCCCTTCACGACCTTGGGACGTCCCACTCAAGTCAAATTCAGCTGCTACCAATGATGTTCTGGAAATCATAGAGGGGTTGATGCCAGGTACCATCTATGCCTCTTGGGTGTCTCCCTTTCCCATAAACCAAGAGGTCACGGCCTGGCGCAACAACGCCAGGCGGCCGTCCTACATTCAGCGACTGGCGCCTCAGAACCGGCCTCAGAGGCCTCATGTCGTTCCAGGCCCCTGAATGGACCAAATCCTATGAATCTGAACCATGATAGGACCTTCAAAGTGACCTTCACACCTGACCAGTGACCTAATCCTATGGGGTCCTATGATAGGACCTAATCCTAATACATCCATACCAGGACCTTCAGTACGTGACCGCCCTTGAGATCCCAGTGGCTGA